ACATGGTCTATTGGAAGTTTAATATTTCTAAGAATAGGAATAGCATTAAATCATCTGAGTAACTGAACAAAAGTATAACAGGAGTAAGATGTCTGCCAGTAAAATAATAAGCAAAAGGGCACAAGATAGTCTGCTTTTGTTGTTCCTAAAGTATGCATTTGAATATGTTATAGAGCTCTAACTATTCTTAAGGAACTGCAGAAGTTTACTTTCATATTACAGCATTTTTGCTAAAAAGGTTTCTTTGTCAAATTATTGTAAATGCTTTTTAATCCTGAGGATTGATATGTTAAAGTAGTTAAAAGATTTTAACTCAATTACACTTTTTTGCAGAATGATCAAGAACCAGCCTCAGGAGTATAGTTTTATTCCTCGAACATGGATCTTCCCTGCAGAATACACACAGTTTCAGAACTATGTAAAAGAACTGAAGAAGAAACGTAGACAGAAAACTTTCATAGTCAAACCAGCTAATGGTGCAATGGGACATGGGTAAGTTGTGTGTTAACTTCAGTCTTCTTACCCATTAAAGGTGAAATCCAGTGCTACGTACAACATTAACAGAAGCTGTGTATTAGAAGTTTGTAGTTCAAGTTGTATGATCAGTATAAGAAAGTTCATGTATTGGATGAAGGCTTACCAGGCAGAAACAGCTAAAACATCGAGCTAAATGGAAGTGGTATTTTAATGTTCCGAATGTGGGATAATTAGAGAATGCATTTTCTGATGAGGCTTAAATTATTCTCAACATTAGGATTATTTTTATTGTGAATTTATCTAAAGAATATATTTATTAATCTGTTGTGCCTAGGTTTATGGGGTGAGATTGTATTGGGCATAAATGATGGGGTTTCAGTGGTTGGGGGCTGTAGAGGTGTCACGTGTGGGAAAGGGTCAGGATCTTCCCCAGCTCTGAAACCCACCCAACCACCCTGTTGTGTGCCAAAACTGCAGCCAGTCAGAGAAGCACAAACATGTTTAAGAGCAGCAGCCATGAAGTTTGGGAGAAACAGAAGAGACGCTGTTTAGGATGCAGCTGGAGATGCTCTCTTGGAGGGAGGTGACACCTATCTCAGGGAAGGAACACCTCTGAAGAGACTGCAACCTGCAATTGAGTTGAAATGGTTTTACTTGTGACGGGGCTACACAGTAAAAAACAATATGAGCTAAATATTGCAATTTCATTCTTAACTCTGTTCGTGTTTTTAGATATTTCAATTTTAGCTTTTATTGCTTTTAATATCAATTTGGATTATACAGTGTAGTAAAACTCTTAGTTATTAAAAATATATCGGAATTACTGTAAAAGTAGAGCCCCCAAGTGTTTCAATTTCCCTATTTTTCAGTCCTCTTGATAAGGGCAAAGATAAGCTGAAGGGAAAGGTAGCAGCATAATTCAGAGAAATGCCTCGAAAGTACTTCACTGTTTTAGGAATATTCGGCACCAGAACACTGAAATGTGTCACAAATAACAAAGGGTAACATTAAGGCAGCAAAGGTATGGGAATTCAAGGTTTCATAATATAAAACTGTAATATTAGCTATTACATTTATTTAAAAGTCTGCGTAGTTAGGGACTGCCGGTTTATAATCTGTATATAAACCTTTTCATTCTGATGTGGGGAAACTGGAATGCAGAACTACTGAGCTTAAATTATGCCATCCTTAGTTGTAACAATCAGTGTCCTGCTCCGCAAACATCATCGCTAAGTAAGTCAGCTTAGCACTGAAAGTTCTTTGCAACCTGTACCTTGGGCAGAAGTTGTGACAAAGAAAGACTGCAAGCCTATTTTTAGAGCTGCATGGGGAGGAGTAATCATAGAAGCTGGAGATTGGTCGTTCTGTCAAACACTTTCCAAATGCAGAGGGGATCCATTATTACAAATTGTTGCATCAAAGGAAGCATAAAGTTATTCTGAAATGGCTCATTGCCTTTTTTCATCCAGTGAAGCACCGTAAAGGACAGGAAACCAAAAGCCATGTAAGTGAATGGCACTTTACCCTATAAATTAAATATGTAAGTCTCTTTCTCCAGGTAGACTTTAGCCTGACTACCTGGCTGGGTGACCATTAAAATCTATTTCGAGGAGTAATGTCAAATTTCCATGTTTTTAAAGTAACTTTTGTTTTTACTAGGATCTCTTTAATAAGAAATGGAGAAAAGTTACAAGCTCAGGATCACTTGATTGTTCAGGAATATCTTGACAAACCCTTTCTTATGGAAGGCTACAAGTTTGATTTGCGTGTGTATATTCTTGTAACCTCCTGTGATCCATTAAAAGTATTTTTATATCATGATGGACTGGTGAGAATGGGCACAGAAAAGTATCATCCCCCCAGTGACTCAAATTTGGTAAGTTGGAGTTCATTCCAATTTATTGCTTATGGATGTAGACTTTCACCTGTGTAGTGTTTGGAGGAGGTAAAATAAAATGAGTAGGGACATGAGATTTAATTTGGTATTCATCTGGCTGAACTTTTGCATTATCACTGAAGAGAAAAAATTAAAATTAAAGATATTTAACTCATGGTTTTCTATCAAAATTACAAGTACAGCCATATTATTGCTTATGTATAAAAAGTTTATATGACTTCGTATATATGCTAAAGAGTTTAAATATTTCCTAAAAGAAAGCAAAAGGTGTCAATTATTGACATTCAACCCAGAAAAAACAAAGTAAAGAAAATCACAAGAACAGTTACATTGCTTTTATATTTCTCTGAGACTCATTTGGGGTGGTGTGGTGGGGAGGATAGGGTTTATCTCCTACTAGATCATTGTTTAACATCCGTGAAGTTTAGAGCTTCTGCTGAGGATCCTGCAATGTTTCAACCATTGTGTTGGGAACCTCTGCAGAAAACGGAGAAAGAGCAATACAGAGCCCATGCATGAGGGGGGTCAGGGAATGCAATCCGTGGAGGTGAGGGAATCTGCTGCTGGTGCTGTTTGTCAGTGACTGCTTCTGCAGGGAAAGCAGTGCTTGACAACTTTAGGATGATACAACAGGGCTGCCTGTAAACTTGCAGAGAACCAAGAAGTGGTAAGGGATACACTAAAGCTTTTGGACACTTTAATCCTCCTGTTCGCCATATAGTCTTCTGTTGAGAGGTGTCACCCCTCTCTTCTGGCACAGACCAAAATACAGATGTCTGTTAAGAAAGAAGTAGATTTGAAGCACTGGGAAGCATCAGTAGATTTGAGATTCTTATACCTCACTCTGTACTGTGTTGCTACTGTATCTTTCCTTTTCCATACTGTATACTTTTAGAGCTGCTTCAGTGTAAGTATGTAATAGGCAACACACAGACAGCCTTTTTCTCTACTTACCACTTAAAATTGTGACTGTCTCTTTGTATTCCTTTGAAGAATGCAAGTATAATTTAGAGCCCAGTACAAATGGTATAAATGGAAGAGTTCCAATATTATGTAGAATCATAGAATGGTTTGGGTTGGAAGGGACCTCAAAGATCATGTAGTTCCAAACTGTGTGCCATGCCCAAAGCCCCATCCAACCTGGCCTTGAACACTTCCAGGGATGGGTCATCCCCAACGTCTCTGGGCAGCCTGTTCCAGTGCCTCACCACCCTCACAGTGAAGAATTTTTTCCTTATATCTAATCTAAATCTACTTTCCTTCAGCTTCAAACCATTCTCCCTTGTCTTATCGCTCCATGCCCTTGTAAACAGTCCCTCTCCAGCTTTCCTGTAGGCCCCTTTAGGTACTGGAGGGCTGCTCTAAGGTCTCCCTGGAGCCTTCTCCAATCTGAACAAGTCCAACTCTCTCAGCCTGTCCTCATAGGAGAGGTGCTCCAGCCCTCTGATCAGCTTCATGGCCCTCCTCTGGACTTGCTTCAACAGCTCCATGTCCTTCTCATGTTGGGGGCTCCAGAACCAGACATAGTACTCCAGGGGGGGGTCTTGCAAGAGCGGAGTAGAAGGGGAGAATCACCTGCCTTGGTCTGCTGGTCACACTTCTTTTGATGCAGCCCAGGACACAGTTGGCTTTCTGGGCTGCAAGCGCACATTGCTGGGTCATGTTGAGCTTCTCATCAGCCAACACCCCCAAGTCCTTCTCCTCAGGGCTGCTCTCACTTCATTCTCCGCCCAGCCTGTAGTTGTGCTTGGGATTGCCCCGACCCACATGCAGGACCTTGCACTTGGCCTTGTTAAACTAACAACTATATTTGGAATAGTTTGCTTTTAATATTTTTTTATTGTTACTAATCTCGGCATTAGCAGCACTGAAATGTGCTCTGAGCAGATAAACAGAACAGGCAGTTGTTTCTGTGTTCTCGCAACTGTTTGTGTTGTAGTTTGTCTATTGTATGAAATAACCTGGCTTATCGCTGGATGATTGTTCCACAGTGACATTGTTCCAATAACTTTAGACTAAAGATTAGTTCAGATGTTTAACAAATGTCCTAAAAACACTTTAATTTTTTTGTAGTCTGAAAAATAATTGCCTTTGAAATAATTTGAATTTCATGGAAAGTTGACATTTATAATGACTCAAAAACAATAGACATCAGAATGATTCTCGAAGCAGCAATTGGAAGCCATGGGAGAAATTAATTACTTGTAGTACTAATACAATATATTGTTAACTAACTGGTAATTAAGTTGATTTGGTTTTGTTAATTTCGTTAAGATTTTTTAAATGTAAGTGCAGTGAGATAAATGACAGCAGAAGGCTTGTGTTATCTATTGGCTATCTTATCAAAAAGGAATTGGAACAGGAGGCTTATAATCAGCTTAGAACATCAGCTACACTCAAGAAAGGAATCAAACATGACAGAGAACTGTCAGTGTGATGAGGACAGTCATCATGGTAGTGCAGGTGGAAGGCTGAATTTAATACCTGTACTGGGAGATAATGTAAACATATAAATCATGATTTATAAATTGGCCTTCGAAAAGTAATAGATTTTTTTTTATATGCAACTGATAACATGGATCTTTTGTTGGTGATGTTTTGCTCCATAAAGGAACTATAGCACTCGCTCATTTATGTGATGTATATCTTGAAATTTACCTCCCTCTGATGTATGGCTACTAGCCAGTCAAAAATGAGCAATTTTGGCAGATATCAGCATGGCAGATGAATTTATATGTAAAAAATATTTTAAAGTATCACTATCATGAGAACATTTCTCATAAATAAACTACAGTGAAAACTGAAATGTGGGATTGTCTATGAAAGAGATGCCAGAGTGTTTTGTAGCACTTTTAAAGTAGCACTTCAAAATACCATCTTTATTGTTTGCTTCTTGTGGAATGTAATCATTCTGTAAGTTATGCTAATTGCTTTTAACTTTTTTAGGTAGTTGTTTACATACAGACCTGCAAAAATGGCAGATATATTTATATTGCCTAACCAGATGTTGAGTGGTAGATTGCTTCACTGCAACTGGCTGAAATACTAGCACAGGTTTTGTTGTAAGAAGGCTAGAACATGCAGATGACACCTCCGAGAATCAGAAACACTAGATCTGCACATAGTGCTATTTGTAAATATGAACTGTTTGCATATGTCATTATTGATTTAACATATTTTTTTTCCTTTTAATTATTTTGAATTGACCATTCTAGAGTTGTATTTAAGGGTTTTTTTTATGTCTCTTCTCCCTTTTTTTAGAGTCAATTGTATATGCATCTGACTAACTACTCTGTCAATAAACACAATGAACACTTTGAACGGGATGAAACAGAAGACAAAGGAAGCAAACGCTCCATAAAATGGTTTACTGAGTTTCTAGAAACAAATAATCTTGATGTCTCCAAATTCTGGAGTGATATTTCAGTAAGATAAAACTAATACGCTTTTCTTTATTTTGTGTATGTATATTCTTAGAAAATTAATTGCTTCTGCCATCTACTTTACTGGAATCCAGAATGATTTTTGAACCTTTATTAATCCAATTTCTCAGCAATGCATGCCACAAAGGACATCATAGTATAAATTATGATTATGGTTTTTAAAAGGCTGAATTCAGAGTTTCTTTAAAAATTTAATGTTAAACTTTTTCTGAGGGACAAAAGCCCTTTCAAACAGTTATTCACATAAGTATTATGATACAAAGGAACCATCCCATTTAAATTCTTGGGGACTTTTCTAGAGTATAAAGTGAATTTTATATATGAATATTTACAAAATTGTCATCAGCATTGCATATATCTGTGGACTGGAACCTGTTGCCATTGAAGTCAGTTGTTATGTTACAGGTGTCTTTAGGTGAGGAATATCCCTAAGACTGTTAGAGCTTAGGCATCATCTCTACATGTGATTCTGAGAAGATATTTTGAAAATTTACCCTGCAAAATGAAATGGATTAAGATTGGCTGCACTATACTTTGTTCCCAATATACTTTTAGCATTTAAGTTATTGCATATCTAAAAGTACATATGTACAATGGAAAGTATAACAATATACTTTAGAGCTATATAAACCAAAAATATATCTGTTACTCCATAGAAATAGTTTGTTTGTTATAGACCATTTATTTGGTATTTTAAAATTTTTTTTTAGTAGATACTTTAATGAAATTTTAGAAGTTAAAGTATGAAGCACGTTAGTTCAATATATACTGGTGTCTTCTCTCCTGATGAATTTTTCTGAAAAAAAATCCCTACAGGAGTTAGTAGTGAAGACTCTCATAGTTGCAGAGCCACATGTTCTTCATGCTTATCGCATGTGCAGGCCAGGGCAAGCACCAGGAAGTGACAGTGTCTGCTTTGAAGTCCTGGGATTTGATATTCTGCTGGACAGAAAACTAAAACCATGGCTCCTAGAGGTAAACCTCTTTAAACAAATGTAAAGTAAATTTTAAGAGTAAAGTTAACTAAGCCCCAGCTGAATCCATATCTATGTAAGAAAACTTCCAAACAAAATATGTGCGTTGCAGGAGGTACTGTTTTTGAGTACATAGTGCTTTTTTTCCAGCATCCATATGGAAACACTGCCTTGCAGCGATTCTTGGAGACTCAGGTAAAGGTAATTCTCTTCCTGAAGGACTGTTGCATTTCAGATGTTTTTGAAATTTTTAATGAGAAGTGTGATGTTAATCCAGTTGTTATTGTATCTGAAGGACCTTGTTTATAGCAATTGGGTGCTACGTAGGTTTCCTTCATGAATATGGCTCTGTATATGGCTCTGGCAACTTTTGTGAATATGTAGTCTTAATTTTTTTTTTTTTCGGGGGGTGGGGGGAGGGATATGTGTTCTTTCCCTCTCCTGTGGTTTTTAAAAGCACCCAAATAAATAGTGGAAACTATTCAGTGTACATGAAATGCTGTCAAACAATTGGCATGAATGGACTGGAAGAAACATTTTCCCTCTGACATGTTACTGGTACAGCTAAGCTTAAGTGGTGCTTGAACACATTTTTGAACCAGGAATGTTTGAGGTTTGTCTATTGAGTCTCTTTAATTACACTATTAACAACATATACATGGAGTTCACTTATCTTTTTTTTCAGATTGTCTTATATCATTATGTTAACTGGGTGGAAGGCTGTACAGCTGGAGGAAAAAAGCAAAATGTATTAAAAATCTGTCTATTGACAATAAATCATGAATATGATTTGGCTACTGATGAGCAAAATGTACACAATTAATTTACTGAATTACAACCTTGTTCTGAGGCCATTAATACTGTCAACAGTTGTATTGTCGTGCTTATTTCTCTCAGGGGTTCGGTATAATTTTAATTAGAAAAATATAAATTCCTTCACTGTTGCCTTGCAGACATAGGCATATTTGCTGGCTTTGATGTGCTAGCCAAAAGCAGCACATGACATGAACTTAGTCTGTACTACATTGACATCTTCTCTTTTTGTTGAGCAAAGCCTACTATCCCTTTGATTTAGCTCTACACTTCCAGATTATCATCTCTAGATTGCCTGTAGTTTGCAGTATGTAGTTGTTTAAGTACAAACTGAAGTTGGTCTGTGTATGCATTTCATCCAGCCTTGTAGCAAACGGTGACAGAGCTCTTCTATGAGAGATAGTGAATCAACCTGTGCAGTGAATCCATTCTGAAGGACACCCCTGTATCTCCTTGGATGTTTACATGCAGTATGGAGATTTTAGGGGGGTTGATTCACTATTTATGATAATGGCTCTCAGAAGAGAATCATACTATCCCAGATTCCTTGTTTGTAAGGGAGGGATTTCCTAAGGTAGTAAATGCTGCTCTGGTATTTTAGGGTGCTGAAGAATACTTCGGGACTTAGAGTTGTGCACCTGGTTATTTATTTTTTTAAATACAGAAGTCTAATTATTTCCTTTTCTGCTTTTGGTGATACAGATATCCTTCAACGTATTTTTCCAGACATTGAACTAAACTAACAGAAATGTCAAAATTGGAGACTCAGTAATTAAGTTTCTATACTCATCCGTTAATTTTTACTGTGCTTGTTCATGTTTTTCGCAGCACTCAGAAAAAACACACAGTATGGGTATGTATGCACACTGTATGTATACTATATGTAGTGTAGTAAAGATCAAATACGCAGTGTATATATATACACACTATACATAATATATATACAGTGTGTGTGTATATATGTATATATCTAATTTTTTTTTTTTTCCTAAAACAGTTCTGACTTCTTCCCTAGCTTTACACTCTTATCTTTTTCCACCCTTTTCCTCTTGCCAACTCCCCCTTAGGGAAGTGAATCATTCTTTCTAACAGTGGTAACAAGTACTAATCACAAAGCCCCGAATGTTCCAAGTGTTACTGTAAAATTGCCAAAATAGGATTAGGATGGTAAACCTAGTTTCATATTTCCATAGCTCACGTAGCTTTTCTGTTATAAAGATAGCTTAATAAACTATTTTAAGAAATAAACTGTACAACATTATGACTCTGCTTTCCTGAGATGACTTTTGTTTATATTGCCATGATGCGATTATAGCTCTCCTGCTCCTTAATGCTACTGAACTTCCGGAACCTTCTACCGAAGTGAGAGCAGTGGGAAATGCATGATTGCCATCTTGTGGCACCAAATGTTTCTGGCAAGCATCTGTGCAGTCCCAGCAGCATCCATCCTTTCTGAGTAGCAACAACTACCTGTGTCTCCCTTCTGTTCCCAGAAAATCCAGTTTTACTATTTTTGACCAAGATTTCCCAGCTAGGTTATTTTATGTGCATAGAAAAATGATACAGTTGAAATTCTTGGATGGACTCTAGCCTTATTCAACTTCATTATATCCAGTTGGGATAACAAAGTTGTGATCCTTGGAGAAAAAGATCTCATTTTAATATCTGCCTTAAGTGCAGGGTACCCGGCTTCCTTTGTGATTTGTGAGGGTGAGAGAAACTCCCCTTATATACAGATCCACAAATTTATTATTTAGTGTAACTGAACTAGCCAAATCTATTCAAAATTTTGTTATCTGTCCAGTTAAAAGGACTTTGGACCTCTTAGGCCAAAGTATCCAATTACTGCTAATTCCTATGAATAAAGTAGTTAAAGCTCACATACACAAGCTTTCTGGTATCTACTCCTTTCTCTTGTGTTATACTTACCCTGTCGTGCCTCTGGAGATCCAAAGGCCAACAAGGGGCAGGAGAGGTCTGCTTCTCCAAGAAAAGATGGGTAGGTGGTTATAGCAAGTTGTCAGTGTCTTGTGTTCTTCACCAGGAAAAATACAGTGTTGATGGCAAAGTTTTCTGCCTCTTTGGTCTTAGCTTCACTTAGGGTCATTTTTATTGATTTGCTGCCTCCGTCCACTTACTGGCTGTTCATTTGCCGATCAGCAATTTTGCATTGTCTCCAATGCACTTTTACCGTAAGTGGTTTGTTTTACATTTCCTGGATTTCACTCTGTTTTCTCTTTGTTATCCCTAAATCCAGTGTTATCTAGTTCACAAGGCTGCATTCCTATAGTGAATCCTACTTGGCCACTGTAATCCGTGTATGTCTCAGAGTATCTGGACTTTCAAGGCCTTCCCTATCATTATTTGCTTATACTTTTGGGGCCCCTCATACAGTCCTGTTTTTGTCAACAATCTTTAAGAAGTGCCTTCCTGATAAAAATACTGATAGATACTGATAGTCATGTGTATGTCCTGGTTCTCGGGTCACTGAAATCTAAATAATACATGTCTCAGCAGACAGATACATATACAATGCTTTAGTAACCAGTGATTACGAATACCTGTTGTGACAGTATCACTGGTATGTTATCAAGATTACAACGCTGCTGTCTTACAGATAAGTCAGCAACCGTACTTCTTGACTGGAAACAAGGGATAGCCACATGAAAAATAAGGGACAGTGCTTTCTTTTAAGGGATATTTTAAGGCGAAAACAATTTTCTTAACATAGTATTTTTGCCTAAGACTTCTCAAGATTTCTCACCCATGATCACATTTGACAAAGCAAGACACTTAATTCCATACAGCCAGTATTTAGCCCCTTACATGAGTAAAATTACACGCAGATATCAAACAGCTGAATATATAGGGTAATAGTATTTCCATTTCTTGTACTACTTAGACTACAACCATGAGGAAATAAATTTCAAATGTATCTCATTGTATTCCATTGGTACTTGAATTGTTCCTGTGATGCCATTTTTCAAAAAGCTGCTACATAAATGTAATTTCTTTTCTTTTTTTTCTTTTTTTTTTTTTTTTTTTTTTGAGATCAAGTTCTGTATCTCAGTCAGCAACATAGCTTGTGGAAAATGACCAACCTTAGGCAAAATATAGCAGATTCAGTCACAGTCTATCTCTCTCAAAGTGTTGGGCATGAGTCAACAATGTGTAGTTACAGTGATGTTGGCTAATTGGCCCTGCAGGTTGATGGCAATGATTTATTTGGCACCTGTGAGGCCACATCTGGAATATTCTCTCCATTTTTATCCCCCAGAGTAAGGGAGAGACATTGACAAACTGGAGTGAGTTCAGCTGAAAGGTGCTAAGGTGCTTAGAGTACTGGTGTACATGCCGTATGAGGAGAAGCTGGGTGAACTGAGTTTGCTGTGCCTGGAAAGGGAGGACTTGTGGGATCTAACTGCGGTCCTGAAGTGGGCTTTTGCAGAAGATAGTCAGGATCTCCTCAGGGATGCACAGTGAAATGGCTGGAAAAATTCAGGAATAGTGCATAAGGGCATGATGTGGAAAGGTTGCCTGAATGAAGAGAAAGAGACTAAGAGAAAGAAATACCTAGAAAAACTCTGTGTGATCTTTTGGGATTTCTGTTATTATTTTGAAGTAGGGAAATATGTCCCTTGTTGAGGCTCTGATAAATCTACGTAGATGACTGTGCAAAGCAGATGTACTGCAAATTACTTGTCAAGGGGAAAAAGCTTAAACTTTTCTTCATACAGAGAACTTAAGGTCAGATACTTATTTGAAAAGTAACTGAACTGGCATTGTGCACACCCAAATTTGTTATGCCCCTGTGGTTTCCACACAGATATAAGCTCATTTGGGTTTTACTGTGAGGCTGGCCATTGCTCCTTCGTAATTTAGAACTGTAAAAAAAAAAAAAAAAAGTTCTGCCAGCTGCATATTGTGTCAGCTTTCCACAGAGCACATGAATTGTATTCAAACAGAGGATGGAGAACATTTAGTGTAATTTTGTCAGGTACAGACAATCCTTTGCAATATTCAGATTGCTCTTAACAGTCACAAAAGTTAAGAGGATTTAAAAGTATTCTGTTTGAAGGAAGTGTTAACCACCTTACATGATCAGGCACAGCTCTTGGACTGCCATTTCAAGAGTATGTGTGTGTATTATATGAATATTTACTGGGGAGATCATGATGTGGTTTGGGT